ATTGCTGGATCATATGGTAGCTCTATTTTCAACTTTTTGAGGAACCTCCATACTATTTTCCAGAGTGGCTGCACCAGCTTGCATTCCCACCAACAGTAAACACTTACTCTTCACGGGGCACTGTGTCAGGCACTGTGGGAGTACAAAGCTATGTACAAAATGGTTTCTGCCTGCAACAAGTTGGAAGACGACTAAGATAGAAGACATGCAAAGGAACAACTAACACAGCACTGATTTATGTACTCATTTTCTAATAAAGACTAACTTCAGTTTAGAGTTTCTTAAATTTAATCTCACAGCCGATCAAAAGATACAAATACGCCTCACTTTATGAAATAGATGTTTTCTAGGGAAAATTATAATTAGTTATGTTTTGTGAATCAAATCCTATTTTTATGAGTATACATTTTAATTTCAGGAATGCTTTATCTTCATGACTGAGCTTATGTTGATACAATTAAGGTTTATCTAGTCACCTAAAATAGCTTTCAACTAACTCTTACATTACAAGAATTTGTTGAAGAATAACTTTTAGTCAGCATGTTAACTTCTCAGATAACTCTGAAATGGACTGGGGTGAGTCTTCTTATTATGACCACTCAATAGTATGCATTTTCAATGAGAGTAGTCTTTTAAATTAAATTCATTTCCTAGCTCTTATACTTTGACACTCTTCAGAGGTTAGACAGTTCTCTCTCAGGGTGGTTATGAAACTTATAAGATAGATAAGTTAATTACCTTCTCTGGTCTTCCTTCTCCCAAATCTGTTCCTTTTCCTGTATTCACCCTCTCAGTGATGTCACCATTATCCACCAAATCCCCTATGGAAATCAACTTAGAACCTTTCCTGTTCCTCAAGCCCCATGTCTAGTAAGTCACAAAATCTTCCCCTTTATTCAAGTATTGAATATTTTGCAAATCCAATCTTCCTCTGCATTTTCACTTCCTTAGTTTATTTCTTCTGTGGACAGTTAGAGTACCCTCCTAAAGAATCTCTGCATCTACCCCTACTCCATTCCTTTCTGCCATTGACTCTCTGTAGCAGCCATAGGGATCATCCTAACAGGCAAATCTTATCATGTCTGTCCCCAGCTGAAAATTCTTCAAAAATCTCCTATCCAGCATAGATTTAAGTAACTTAGTATTGCTGCTGTGCCTTTTAGGATCTTGCCCCTACCTATTGTTTCAGCTTCATCCCTTGGGACTCCTCCTATGAGACCTGGACTCCAGGCATGAAAATGCAAAGTGTCCATTATCTTTAAGGACTCCAACCCTAGGCTCTGAGCAACTGGGTGGCTAGTGACGCCATTTATTCACATGAGGGAGAATTAGAAGCAAATCAGTTGGGGGTAGAGGAAACATATCTGGGTGGCTCAGTTGGTTGGGTGGCTGACTCTTGATTTTGGCTTAAGTCATGATCTCAGGGTTCTGGAATCGAGCCCCACATCAGGCTCCATGCTCAGTGGGGAGTCTGCTTGAGATTCTCTCTTTCCCTCTCCCTCTGCCCCTCCCTCCCCTCTAAAATAAATAAATAAATCTTAAAAAAATAAAATGCTTATCTATCCATTAGGAATTATGTTTGGTTGCATATGATAAAAACCTGAAAACAGTGGCTTAAATAAATGTTTTCTTTTTCACAAATAAGTGCAGAGGTTGGCAGTCCAGGGCTGGTTGCAGGGGTTCAATAACATCATTAGTGTGACAGGTCTCTTCTGTCTTCCCACTGCACCATCCTTAGTATATGCAAATTTTGTCCTCATAGTTTTGCTTTATGGTCAAAAATGGCTGCTCCACCTTCTTGATTGCCTTTCAGACAGGAATTACCCAGGTTCAAACTGTAGGTCCCTTGAAGATACTAACAAAAATAGTCAGGGAACAGATATAGATGGAATTATAGAGAAGTGATTGAATTAAACCATTGTTTAATGAGGAAAAATAAACTTAAATCGTCATCATGTACAGTAAGAAAAAAAATGTATCCTAAAGAGTAAGGGGAGATAGAGACTCATATGAGAATTCAATTAAAAAAAAAAAACTTATCTGAAAAAAAAAAACCAACATATGCAAATACCTGCAAAATTTTGTGTTTTCTTCAGAGTTTACAGACTTTGTAAAGCTTGCCCTGGACCACTAGTTGTTCCCTGATCTCAATTAGAATCCCTAATTAGATAACATGATCACCTAAGTTTGACTATTTTTGTGCACTAGAAAATTGGCTAGAGGACAAAAAAAATTTATGTGTGTGTTTGATGGTCTAGCCCCATAAAATAGCCCAGTGTACATAACTTTTAAAAAACTATTGATTAAATTAATGAATAAATTTTGCTCAACATTGAAGTCAAATGGTAAATTCTGTTTGAAATGTCCTTTCTGGGATCAGCCACATAAATGAACTATGGCTTGTGAGCATACCAATGCACCATTACATAAAATCAAATGGAGAAAAAAAAAAGGAATTTTTTATTTATGAAGTTTTCAAATAAGTTTCCTCTTCCCTTACAGATTTTTCATATTAAAGATTTGGCAACTCGTTCCTTATACACTGTGTTCTTATTATACATTTATGTTATCTTAGCCACAGATGTTGTTAATCTTTTTATTTCTGCTAATAACAGCAAAACCATGTCAAAGGATTTGCCATATGAAGTGAGAAGGGCTCAAGAAATAAATCATTTATTTGGCCCAAAAGACAATGAAGATTCCTATGACGTTATTTTTGACCTTCACAACACTACTTCTAACATGGGATGCACTCTTATTCTTGAAGATTCCAGGAATGACTTTTTAATTCAGATGTTTCATTATATTAAGGTAATGTCAATGTTATTAATTTATAAGTTAGCCTAGTTCCTGTACTTTTAAGTCAATTATAGGTGTAAGACAACCAGAAAAGGGTCAGGAGATGAGGGAGTGTCCAAGAGAGATGAGGGAGTGGGAAGGGCACCAGAATAGAGGCAGTTTTGACAGGCAGGAAAAAAGGTGAGGAAATGAGTAAAATAATAAAGACAGTGAATAGTGAAATAAGTCAATCAGAGAAAGACATGTATCATATGTCCTCACTAATAAGAGGAATTCTTAATCTCGGGAAATAAACTGAGGGTTGCTGGAGTGGTGGGGGGTGGCTGGATGAGAGACATTGGGGAGGGTATGTGCTATGGTGAGCACTGTGAATTGTGTAAGGCTGTTGAATCACAGACCTGTACCTCTGAAACAAATAATACATTAT